GAGGACCATTCTTTATACAATATTATTCACTTATCCTTGTTCATTATCAAGTAGTGGTATCATTCACACACCAAGCACAATTTGCTGGTCTGAGGGTATGCCATATACGAAGCCGACACATTGGGCAATTTCAAACAAAATTATTTTAGTTTCCCTCCTGATAGCCCCACGAAGCTTTGTCTAGGTCTTTTGACTATTCTACTATCGGCCATTCTTCGTTCATCGGCAAATGAGGCATTTTCAAAATGTTGATCGTCCAATGACATGATTCAGTTATTTTCTTTTCGTTTCTTGATACTAACAGTCACTCAATCTTGAGCTTCTGTGCGACCTACCCGTAACCTCCTTACGTACATGAGACAGACAGCATGATGAAAACGTTTGAAATTTTTTCTACGGAAACTGGGGTGCATTATGACTTCAATCGTAACATTCGGTACATGATTGGAGTTAACGTACGATTGTCCATGTATTTTTTCGATATTGTCTACCTCACATAATCCGGATCATCCATGGGCTTTGCACGCCAGTGATCTTCTTCTGTTAAGTGTGTAGACGTAATGACGGATCAATTTCGTTCACTTAAATTATGTTCAACGTTAAGAATAACCGTGGCCCACAGTCCTCCGTTTTGTGTTTGTAATCAGGGTTATGCACTACATCGACGCAGATACCATAGAAGGTTTTAAACGCTCTGTTTTCCTCTTTTCAACAAACTTTCAAACTGACCTTTCCAGCATCTCTTACATGCAGTGGTTCAGAAATGAATCCTAAATTATGCTTCGCGCGGTTGTGCAATCTCTACCTCAGATGTTCCTCTTCCGTTCTCAGCGATTAGGTGTATGTCATGTAACCGGAGTATGTCACATTACTAATCACTCGTTCAAGATCAGATTTCACGGCGTATTTCACTGTCTAATGCCATGGAGCGCTGCACCTCCCCTTCAAGGCAACTAGGAGCATGAGTGCGGTGTAAGGCATCACTGAATCTTGTTCTGACGCAGTTATTTGTTAGTTGAGATTTCGAAAATAGACAAATATTGTAGGGCCGGCCAAGAAATTTAAAGGATTTCATTTTTTTGCCATTTCCGGATATCCATAAGAAACAGCAGACTCAGCCTGATCGACTTTATGTTAATCTTGAGTTCTAAAACGAATTGAAACTAATAGCGAACTACAAGACTGTGAATTTCATTAGATTTAAAATGACCATAACAGAAGCTACATTGTCCCGCTTGCTCTCAGGTCACCAACCTGTTCCACTTTTCAACATATGGATAGAGCGTTTTCTTGACAATTCATTTACTCATAAATTGTTTCATTGAGGAGAAAACCTACGCCATGAAAAACTTCATTGTCTTCTTTCATAGTACACATATGTCGGAAGTCATTCACTACGAATTTCTGAACTTATTAACAGCATATCATTTTTCAGAGTTCTGTCATCTTCAACACACGCTGCTCAAGGAATAGCAAAGTTCAGGCCCCTGTTCGATTTAGACCTAAATTATCAGTATTTTAGGCAAAACATAGACCGTACCCTGAAAAGCAATTACTTTCATTACATATTTCTATATATTTTCGCTACAGACGTGGCATCTTTGTTCTGCTGACTTCATCTGCTTGTAATTCAGAGACAAGTACATCGCTTTAGCCGTCAGCAAATTGTTCGATGCTCCGGAAAGAAGGCTGGTAGAAGGGGCCGGCGCCGTTGGGCTGGCTGCACTCTTCGAGTACTCTGTCCCAGAGCTTCAACATAAGAGGTAGATCGAGATGTAATTTCGGCCTTTCGAAACAGACGTGCTTGCGGTTCTTCAGGGTGGTCGTCGTAATTACTGGACGCAACCTCTGTGCCGCATCGACCTTGCGTTTGTGCCTGAGGAGTTACTTCAGGGAAAGGGAACTGTTCGCGATACTGGATATCGTTTTCCGACGTGAAACCGATGTTAACCATCAGCTTTCGCAGATATTCAAAAGCAACGATGTAACGGTGCATAAGGTTTCGATCAGAAGAAGAAGATATGCCGGATTTCTGGGATGGATAAAAGTAAGCATAAAGCATTTAATATGCAACGTTTCGTTCGTAGCTATCCGCTAATTCAATTTTTGTTCCACGAATCTTTCGTCGACATTGTTTTGAATGGGGAACAACTGAGGTACGTAATAATTCCTTGATGCCAGCATTCCTTGGTTGCTTGTAAAGTGGCCGTCAGCTCAATTTAGCACTACGAAAATCTGGAGACTTTTATACTCTCATATATTTAGGTGCTTGGTGTTGACGTTGTGTAGTGGAAAGGATACTACAATAAAGTAAGTACGTCAGTCAAAAATGCTCAAGTGACCTTAAAGCAACAAGACCAGTCGCCAAAACCTGAATATAACAAACGGTCAAATCCATAGTGAAAAGTGGATCTCTATTATGCTGATTAGAGTCTAATCCAAAATAACTATTGCTCGTTCATCGGATCGATCAGACATCGAACGTCGAACGGAGCGGTGAACTATTAGCATGCCACAATAGGGAGGAACTTTCACGGAACTTGTGTTTGCCTGTTTCGAAAGCAGGCTGCAGGCAATCCTGGTACAGGGAGTGAGTATGGAACTCATTGAACTTTTCGCTCAATAGAACACCTGCTGTCTTTATGGTTTTAGAACGTCTGGTTAAGATACACTAAAACTCGTCAGTTTTTACTGGCGATGTAGGCGGAATGGGAAAGAACCGTAGCACATGATAATTGCTGAATAGTAGTGTTACTTGCACAATGGCTGTGGAGCCTGCTGGGGACTGTTTTAATCTTATAAATGTGCCTTGCAAAAAGCCTTTGTAGTGTAGCCAGAAGGTTTTCTTAGTACGGATATTCACCCAGGGCAAGAAATCATTGGATTAAATGAAGACAGATTTCATTTGTTGGACCAGTTTTTCATCCTTCTTCATGAACATGACGCATTAACAACTTCCAAAAAATTACTTGTTCTTGTGAATATCTGAAAACTGAATTTTTGCTTTGGGTTTCAAAAATTTTCAGGGTATGATTCATTCTTTCGTTTTTACGTTAGTGCTGACCAAAGTTCTCTGCTGTTTCAAATCTAAAAGATCCATGTTATATTTAGACAAAAATCGCCTGCCAGTGTAGAGGATACCTGAGGCTAAAGCAATTAATTGAAGACATACAATCTCGTTCCAGCGTGCTCAAATGTTCGTCTAAGCCTTGGCGAATACGAAGAAGAAGACAAAGAGGAGTTCAAATGCTGGAACACTGAAAATAATCGTCCGCAGTCCAAGAATAAGCCATCACAATGCACTACTAATTGCAATAAATTGTCGTCACAATTGTGCTTATTAAAAGTATAATGCCCCATTTTCATACCAGTAAACGGTCAGGCTTAACAAAATTGAAAATTCATCGAAAAGTTTTTAAGGTTGCTTGCAGAAGTATTACGATAAATGTCCTTCTTAATATGCTGACACCTCTAAAGATTTACATGGTGTATTGCATCTGCAGAGAGGATCATCTTAGTAAACCACGGCCTCATGGCATTTACATACAATTCACGACTGCAAAACCACATAAATCTGTTGGATTGGACAAAACTAGGACTTTGCTGTTAAATCTATAATTTCACTCATGTGCAGCTTCATTTTTTTCTGCAAAAATTGCATAAATGACATATGATAAATAAAGGTTAAACTATCTAAGTATTAAAACGTTTAGCTGATTCACCAATGGTTCATTGCCTTGCGTTAACATGACAATATAAAGCGCACTTGATCGAAATAATGTCGCACCCGTCTATAATAGAATCTTTGAGAATGAAAGAGTTCAACTAATACAAACTACTTATACCAAGAGTGAGAGATTCTCAAGTGATTCATTGTAGGCGCGTAAGACCATCATCTCGAGCCATTCACATAAGCGGAACGTCGTAGAATTGAAATATCTATCGTGTTCGCAGCTTACAACACTTATGTATAAGCGACCGGTTATTGTGTCGCAAAAAAATCTTTTTTCAGCATGTCTGTTGAATTATGCAGCTCTTTCCCTTGAAATAAAACTTGAAATGCAAAATGCGGAACTTTAATAAACGATTTCTCACAGAACGGTACAAAACCTAACATAAGAAAGTATAAAGCACATGTTATTTGCAGGTTCAGTTGGGTTACGAACTGTCTCTTTAAACTTGAACCATGAATCGCGAAGGAATTTTTGTTCGATATTGCGAAGTGCATGTGCAGATAAAGAGTAGATAGAGCAAAGTAGTGACCTTGCAGCAGTCAGTGGAAGTGTTGTAAGCACATCCTGATATATGCACAAGCAAGCTTAAAGAAGCGTATGTTCGACAATCAACAGTAAAGCTATATTTAATCCAATGTCTCATCCAAAGATACTAAAAAACGTAACTGAACAAAGATTATCTTTTGTAGAAGAGGTGAATGATGTGACTATATCAGTTATAAAAGTCGAAGAACATGTACCTCTGTTGTTCTTCGTAAATGCGGGATTTCCAGAGGGATAAATGATTAAGTGCAACAACGAACCTGGCATATGTTAGATCTTCATAGGATTCTGCATGATTGTTCTGATACTTAACATAGATTGACTTGAAGCACGAATGATGGATATTTGACGTTCGCCGAATCCAATCCACTATGAACGCTGATTCTGACTTTGAGCTTAGAAGATGTTGCCATGAAATTTTAACATTTTTGGTCAGTCTGTAGGGATATAAGATTTTTTATCGAAACTAAGAGGCGATCGTGCACAGAGACCACGTAAACATTCTTGATGTGTGCCACTGAACTGACAGTAATGACGGTCAAGGGTCGAACGTGTAAAATGACCGTTGGTTCAATGCCGTGCGCCCTATAATCACAGAGAGTCGACAAAAGCCTATGAATAAAATAAAACTTCTCCAAAATCAAAAAGCGTTCTTGCAAATCAACCTTGTACGGGACAGCATTGGGCGAGGAATTACTGCATTCCAAAGCAATGTCATTATAGTGAGAAAGTATTCGAAGATATTTTTCATTCTTACCTGGCAATCACTCTTCGGTTGCGCGCCTATTTTATAGTAATTTTCCTGTTGCCCCAGGTAGTAATTTTTCATTGGCAGCGATGGTAATATCTCTTGACGCTTTGCCTCCTGATGTACTTATGAAAATTTTTACGTATCTTCCAATACAGTTCGTTGTATCGACGATTAGTTTGGTTTGCAGAAGTTTCCGGCTTGTTGCGAGTTTCGAGTCGTTCTATAAACAGCGCTTAAGCTCGTATTGTTTTGCCTTTGAACCGCTCATAGGTAAATCTGAAATTTTGCCTTTTCTGTAGAACTTTGTTAGTTTCGAACTGAGCTATACTCAGAATTTGAATACGTATATAGACGTTGCCCTCAGCTATTTTTGGGAGATCTGCCGAGGCGATGAGTTGTCTATAAATATATTTGTTTTTGAGTTTCACAGTTCTCGCTTGGAATTCTGCATGTTTCAGTTGTGGACGTTTGTATTGTGTTATTTGTTCCGCAGGAGTGGCTCTGTTTTTCATGTGATGTTGTGTTCTGTTGGCAAAATGGTCTGACTTCGAACTGCAGAGGCGCCAGGTTCAAATCCGTGGAAAGAAGATCTTTGTCGTAAGCGCGAATTCCCTCGAGATAGGAATTTACCTCATCTTGCTTTGTTGCAGCCAGCCGAGAAGCGGGTAGCACGCTGTTGCCTTGTGAATAATAAGGACAGAGTAGTACTTTGGGTTTTGATACCATAACGGGCAAGAGATACTGATCCATGCTGTAAAAAGATGTCGCTTCATATCACTGCAATTCACATTGACTTATCTGATTGCTGTTTGTTGAATTTGTCTCAATGAGTTAATCAGTAGAAGGTGTTGTACATGTTGTTGTATCTAACGATCTCGGCTGCAAACGCAGCTGACGTCCCCCACACTTCACCGACCTTTCCAGACAAAGTACTGAACAATGCCCGTGATGCAGGCCAGTAACATGGATATAACGTTTATAACGTGAAAAATCTGCCTTTGATTGTTAGCTAATGAGGGATATCATTTTCGAGGTACATAGTGAACTTGTGTTTATCGTCTGAAGGGTTTGCTTTAAACAACTAAACTCGAAACTGATACCGAATGTTTAGTCAGCCGTGTCACTGAGCTAGGAATGCAAAGGTCCGTATGGCTACCTGTGAGCGAGCAGAATGCTCGATCTTTGACGGTAACATGATTACAGTTATATAACTGTGGAGTACTTTTAAGGTGCTGTTGTATCATATTGTAGAACTAAAAACAACAGTTTGTGTATTCAAACTGAATGATGAACTCTCGAGTTGCACAACAATACCAACGTTTCTTAAGGGGCCTTCTTCAGGTGATAGTGTAGCTATGTAACTCCAGTTTTTGGTGCTGCTGATATTCTGGCTTTGACAGAACCAAGGTCCTTAACAATTCAACTGCCATAACGTTAAGTTATTAGTGTATTATTAAATCTCCTTCACGGTGTAGAACTTTCATTATTTTAAGTGTAACTTATCTCGAAGAATAAGTATTAATTTTTTGCCAGTAACTATTTTTTTTGTAATATTTCATAAATCATAGTCATAATTCAGACGAAGAAGAAGCGGACTGCTGGAAAAAGGCTTGCGTCGAGGCTGAACAGCAGCAGCGATGGACGGCGGATGAAGAGGAGTTTCGCGAATGTTTGACCCTGCACCAGGGTCACACCGAAGGAGTCGATTGTGTGCACCTGATGCGTGTGAGTATGGTTTCCTCTGTTTCCTCTTTGAAAGGTTCGAATGCGAAAAAGTTTCTAAGGTTGAAACGAAATACAGTGCAATCTCTGCTCTGGAGTGATCACTTTTGTAAAATCTATTAATTTTTTTGTTGATGCTAATTCTAGTTCTATTCGTTTTTGATCTGCGGATGTAATATCTCCAGGAAAGTTCTCTCAGATCATTATATTTGGTCCAGTCGTGAATAGCCGACTGTTTGAAGGTTCATGACAGCCTTTGGAGCTATGGATGGTTGTGAGGAAGTAAATGTTTGCGTTGCAGTCTAACCTGTGGCAGTAGTATCTGCAAGGGTATCTTTTTAAGCCAAATCAACGTTGTCATTTCCTGATTGGAAACGAACAGGGTCACTGCAATAGGGAACTACTTCGTTTTGGTAGGCCGACTGCAGTTCGTCATGTTTA